TTTTTTTTTTTTTTTTCCCCTCCGCGGGGACAAGCCCCCGCAGCGTCTCTCCCCGCACGACTGATTTTCACTCTCAACTTCTGGCGGCCCCCGCGGCCGGATCCCCGCCCGGGGTTGGGGTTCGCCCCCCGCACTCCCCCCGCGGGGACATCCCCGTTCCCGCGGGATGCGGCGGCTCCGCGCAAACTTGGGCGCGCATCCCGCATCCTCCCGCACCCTCCCGGGGCGGCTCGGGCCGCGCCGCCGCGCTCCCCCCGTGGCCTGGCAGGAGGAGAAGCGGGAGAAGCCCCGCGCACGGCGGGGCCGGGGAGCGGGGGGGGGACGTTTTTATTCTCACATCGAAGGTGGTGATTCCCCCCACCCTCCTCCCTCCCCGGTGCGGGCAGGGCGGCCCCGCGCAGCGCGGACTTGAGCGCGACCCTCCCGGGCGTCACTTCCAAGTTCAAGTCGGTGCGGCTGGCGGCCTCTCCGCCCCTTTTTTTAGCGGCCATTTTCAGCTCCATCCAGCCCTCCGCGGGCTGCGGACGCTCCCCCCGCGCCGCGACCTCCCCGCCGGGCGGCTCCCGCCGCCGCCTCCGCCCCCCCGGTACCGCGGGGCGGGTGGGCCGGGGGAGGAGAGACGGCGGCGGCTCCCCCCGCCCGCCCCCGCCGCCCCGCGCCCCCCCCGCCCCGCCACCGTATTAAACTCGCCCCGCCGCCCCCTCCCCGGCAGCAACTTTTGCTCGTGGGGGCACCCGCAAACACACGCACACGGGGAGGGGGGTTGGAGGTGAAGGGGGGGGGGGAGAGGGGGGAAGTAGAAGAGAAAACGAAAGTGTCATGGGACCTACCATCGCCAAGTGCAATTAACGGGCTCCAAGTTGCTGCGAAGCGCAAAGCAAAAGAGGATGGATGGGCTGGTTTGGGGTTTTGGTCTAAAACGTGTGTTTTCCACCGCGCCGAAGGAGGAGGAAAAAAAAAAAAAAAGCGCTGCCCCGCGAAAGAATTAAAAAATTTAAAAAGCCAATAATAAAAATAACAATAACAATAATAACAATAATAATAATAATAATAAAAGCCTCCCCGAGGCCAGCGGCACAGTGTCCCCCGCGGGCGGTCACCCTCGCTCCGGCTCCGCCGCGCTGCCGGGGGCCATGCTCCGGGCGGGGGGCCGGGCTGCGGGGCGGGGGGCGCGGGGCGGCGGGGACGGGCGGCGGGAGCGCGGGGCCCGCGCCCGGCCCGGCCTCATGCGCTGCGGGGGTGGCGGGGCTGGGGGGGGGGGGGGGGGGGGGCCCCCCCGGGGTGTTCGCCCCCGGGGGGGGGGGTGGGGGGGGGTGCCCGGGGTGGGCGGCTACACCACGGGGCTGGCGGGTGGCAGGGGGATGCCCGCGGAACGCGGGGGTGTCCGCGGGCCGGGGATGGGGGTGAGCAGCGCGGGGCCGGGGCCGTGCGGGGCCGGGGCCGT